AACTTTGGTTTCCATCCTGAGGATGGCGTCGAAGAGACACCAAACCTTGTGCTGAGTTAGGGAGTACAAAGCTAACTCCAAACCAAAAGGTATAAAAAGATTTCACCAACAAGAAGTCATGAGAGCAGAGCCAATGAATATGTTATTTATAGTTTTGGAAGAACTCTTGCAAAGGGCACATCAATTAGGTTAGAAGGAGAGTATTAGTACTAATCTGTTTAATCCTGTAATTAGTGCTAATTCCACAATGAAAAGCAAAGAAAAACTTCAGCTTTCTTTAGACTTCCACTGGACCTATCAAGCAAAGAAATTTGGAATTACTGGAGAACCTTAAGAATCTCCCTTCCAAACTTTTCAGTCCTGCTCAGAATTGAAAGATCTCCCATCCTTACTACTACAAATACTAGAATTCTTACCCATCAATACCATACTTCTGGGAATAACCTTACGATTTAAAAATATACAGGGCAGCATACAAATATACTTGAAAACAGATAATAACATGTGTTTGAGTAAGCCTTTGCCACGCTGTATCTGGGTCTTGATATGAAAAATGCTTCTTTATTACGAACTAGTATATTAAGCTTCAAATAAACAGAAAAAAAAAATACACAGTCAAACTGGTCTAGTTCCTTATTTATTACTTAAAAGTCATATATCATGAGTAAAATCTAATATAGCATGAAAAATGTAACTTTATGATACAACGAAAAAAGTTTGTACCTCGAGATTAGCACCATATAATCTGTGCTTTTCTATGGAATCTTGCCCACCAGAGAACGCATATTTGTTTATCTGAAGAAAAGAAACATAATCCCCAACACAAGAAAAGACAAAGTAATGTCATTGTAAGAGTATTGGATGAAATGAACATACTAGTTAACAAATAAGTTACAAGATTGGCAAGCATATACATCTAAGAATCACTACTACACGTACATGTCACTAGCATCTGTACCACAAACAATAAAACTGCCACATGGTTAAAAATAAATTAGCAACTTCATAGAAAACTGAAATGCAGAACTTTTGAAATTATAATATCATTTGTAAGCATCAAACTATAAGCTCTTGTTCGAGAGAGAGAGATAATTCACATTTCTATTTTCTTGGGGGTAAATAGTATTAGAAAAATTAAAGTGGTCATGAAATAGGTCATTTTATACATAAAGCAAGAAGTGGACAAGAAGAGTACACCTAACCTAATGACTTAAAAACTCTACTGAAAACATTTGAAATAATCTAGAGTTTTTTTTTTTTTTGTTTTTTTGAGCTTGCCTTATCCACTTTTCTTACAAACATGTTCTTTGTGTAAATATATTATTGTTTTATCCCAATAAACTTTTTCTTTTTTAAAAAAAAGCATGGACATGTGACCCAGTTACCACATCTTGAAGCTTCAGAGACAGATTAAGCTCTTCCTTGGCACACACAAGTCTCAATAGAAAACCAATTATAAGAGAACGAAACTAAACCTTGTTTTTTATGTCCTTTGCAGAATCAGTCACATATATGGCAGAATTAGGATCACTTGCAGACATCTTTCCTGTCTCTCCCTGCAGATCAGATACTGAGATAATAATAAAAAAATTGCGCGATGCACAAATTATGCAAACAAGAAGGATCAGGGATCTTATCACATACAATTGCTGGTGCCGTGTTCTACATAAAACTAGGGAACCAAATTTTTGTAGTATGTACAGAACTTTTGAAGAAGAAATAAAAGGGTACAAGTAAAATAAATAAAACAATAATTCAAAAAAAGCTATAAACATGATAACGCTAACATAAAAGTCGTGCAACCATAAAAATCATACAAAAGTTTAAGCCAAGCCCATCTACACTGGCAAGTATCCACCATATTTAAAATGATTTTTTCCTTGTAGTTCGAAAAGATTCTATAAATTAATTGATATTGAGTGGTAACTGAACAAAGAATTGTGGTATTACCTGCATGGCAGGAAAGAAAGAAGATTCAATCAATGCAGGTTTATGATATCCTAAGCGAGGAGCTACATCCCTTGTCATTCGAAAATAAGGATCCTGGAGAACCAATAAATAAAATTCATATAAATAGAGAAAATCTCAATCACGGACCTAATAAATAAAAGACAATACCCAGACTATATGACTGAGCAATGTGGTACACGCTATTTAATAAGGTGCACAAAAACTTGTGCTAGGAGAAACAATCAACGATACCTGATCAATAGCACAAGGTATTAAGCACCTAAGATCATCCTTGCCAGAGAAAAGATGTGGGAATGAACTCGGAAATGAAGGAACTGCCTGCATCAGAGTGAAGTGATGAATAAAGAAAAAGAGAATTAGATTAGTCTTGCAAATAATTCTTTAGACAATGCAGTGATATTGTCATAATTATGCAGAGGGAGAAAATAATCATGGATATCAAAGCAAAATGATTTCCCATTTTTAGTTGTTTATGTGACTTATGGTACACGGAGTGTTGTGGTTGTTTTTGTGATTTATATTATAAAGAGCGGTGTGGTTTTTGTGATTTATGGTAAGTTCCAGTACATTCAAACTTCAACTTAATGTAACTTGATGAGCTCTTTGACTTCGTGAGATTTATAGCTTCACCTTGGTACTCTCTATGTAGAATTTCATATTATACTTATAATATATGCTAATTGGAGTACGTAAGAACACTACTTCTTACTTTGCGCTATGATATCAACACAGAACACAACTTACAAAATAGAAGCAATTAAAATGTAAAAGAAAGATAACTTCCCAGCTAATTCCAGAGTGCTGGTTACTCCCCCTATTAGAGAACTACTGTTATATCAAAATGAACGATACGGAAAAGTAACAAATTTCTCCAATTGGCAGTCATCAATCTTTGTTTTCTCAACCGCTACATGCTCAACACTAGATCCAGATTTCCCAATTTCAATGGTAGGAAGTCATCCATAATCGTCATTTCTGGCAGGTTCACTATAACTAGGTGACACACCCCTACTAACATAAGTATTCACAATCGGAGGTCAAAAAGAGTAATTCTCACAATCTCCTCTACCCCTTGAGAGAAGATGTTGTCGGCCATTCTTTTTGTACATTTTGTTTTGTAATACGAGGCTGTTTCTTCTTAAGAAGAGAGACTGATGAAACTGAAGTTCGATCTTCATAGAAATGGAGTTTTGAGAATGAGAAAAATAAGTTTCATTTTTTAGAAGTTAATGATACATTCGTTCTTTTAAAATCTTAAATATAAAGAATGCATCTATTGTGTGAGAGTGCAAAGATCGTGAATGAATGTTAGCAATTCATCTGAAAGACAAGATCAAAATCCATGTGACAAAATTAGGATCATATATTAGAATGGATATAACCCAATATGATATAAAACTAATGTAATAACACAAAATAAATTTCAATAAGAATGATTCATTATTCCTAATAAAAGTTGCCATTTATACCTGCACCGGTGGGAAACTAACTTTTCCAATATGATCTTCACCAGTAAACCCGAAAATACCCACAACCTTCATGACCAACATATCACAATAAGCATAATAATAGTAACAATATCAATAAATAAATCTTGACAATGAAAAATATTAAAAATGATTAGAATATAAGTGAGTACCTTGTTGTATGTAACACATTTGGCTACTTTCACCATGTTTTTATAGAAGGCACTGTGAAATAAATCCAAAATAAACCAAATTAGGAAGTCTTATCACTTGGATTTTTTTTACCGAACAAAAAACATATATTTGTAAACTAAAAACATCTCCAGGTAGCAAGCATATAAATCACTCCTAGTAATATGTGTAAGACAATCAGAAAGATCTGCCGGTTCCAGCTAAATGACTATTAGATTTTTCTTCTCTTACAATCGACAAGTTCACTATCATACTCACCCACCAACATAATCAAAATCAGAGAAGATAAAGGTTTTCGAAATATCAAAACCACAAGCAATGATGTCTTTGGCATTCTCAAGAGCAAGTCTCTGGCACTCTTCCACAGATAGATTTTTCCACATACACTTCTCATCGTCAGTGAGTTGTATCACAAGGGGCACCTTAAATGCATCTTGCAAATATCTACAATAACATCCAATGCCTATATTCAGATAGTGAAAAAAAAAAAAAAAAAATTGAACCTCCTAATCCATAAACTCAATTAAAGCACAATCACTTGAAATAAATATGTTAAGGCCAAAGCATGCACTGTAAGAAGAAACTGAAACACACTTGGTAAACATAAATGGAACCAGATGCCCCAAATGCAATGCTTCAGAAGAAGGCCCTCTTCCTGTATACAAGTAGAACTTCTCTCCCCTCTCGTACACATTCAAAATTTCTTCAAAATCCCTAAGAAAGTGGAACAAAGTTAAGTTCAATTACTGCAATAATGGAACTGCAAAAAGAACGTCGAGAGAGATAGAAATAAACCGATGGGCAAAGAAGACACCACGGCGGAGGAAGACATGAGGAGGACGAGAAGTTAGCCGCTGGACTCGATCGACGAGAGACTGCTGGAGCCTCTGGCATCCGAATTTGTCAATTAGCTTGTCGTAGTCGATTTTACCTCCATCTTTAGCCGAAACTTGCCATGGATTTACCACCTGATCATCTTCTTCCATAGATTCCTCGACCTTCCGCTCCGCCTCTGCCTTCTCCATAATCCGCTGGTTTTACCGGCGCCGCTGCTTCTTCTACGGTGTAAATTCTTCTGGGCCTAGTAGATTTCTCATACTCCCCGGAAAAGCGCGGGGGCGGGGCACTGAATTTGGAAGCTTCTGATACTTCTATGCAGTGTTCTTAATCTTCCTAAGGTCCATAAACATGATTTTGTTTGTGTTGGAAAAACAGGGCTCTAGGTTTTTTGGACTCAAAGGGACAATATCATGATTAGTGTATATATATACAGATTAAAATTAAATTTAAAAAAAAAAAAAAAAAAAAAAAAAAAAAAAAAAAAAAAAAAGGCTTTACCCTTCGCCATCGGATGCGCGCGCAAACCAACGGTCAGCATGCCTTCACCTTCATGCTGATCGTAGCCGGACTCTCTCCTTCTAATGATTGCGCACATGTTTATACAAACACTCCCAAAAGATGTTCGTATATCAAACAAGAAGAACGAATATCCTGAAGATTACTGTTTCCATTTTCAGTTAAATCTTCGTCTTTCTTCCCGTTCTTCCTCCAGTTGCAGAGCTTAATCTAATTTATCCGCTGTTCTTCTGCGTTCTTGTACTGGTTTCAGTCATTCTGTTCGCTCTCCAATCGGAAGAATCTGTAAGCATTTTAGTACTTTCAAGTGATTGTGTATTTTTTGAACTCCTTTATTTTATTTTTGTTTGATTCTTTCACGATAATGAATATTGAATCCACTTGCTTACTGCTTCTTGGGAAGATTTTTTAGATTACTTTTTAGCGTCTGTTCGGGTTCCGCGATTGCTATTTTTTATTCTTGAATCACTCCACTTCTGCGATTGACTGGCCGTTGAATTTAAAAGTTCGACGCTGAATTTGAAAGCAGTTTTTCAAGAATCAAATGTTTTTTTTTTTCTTCTGTGAAGAAGGTTGATTGAAATTTTACGGAGTGGATAGATTTTTTTTTTTTTTTGTGGTTCTGTAGGTTATAATTATGCGAGTTTTTTAGTGAAGCAAATGGAAACGGACTTTCTTGATACGCTTTTGAATACAAAATTCTTCACTTCTTGCAATCTTCATCCTAGTCTCCAGACATATAAATTCTGCATTGATTGTAATGTTAGCTTCTGCACGAATTGTACAGTCCATAATCTTCATCGGCAGGTTCGTATCTGGAGATATTCCTATCATGATGTTGTGCGCGTTCAGGACATGAAGAATCACTTTTGCTGTGCAGAGATTCAGGTATAATACATTTTTTCCCTTGTGCCTCCCGTGTCTGGGCCTTGCGACGTGTGAGTGCCGAGCAAATTTCCGACTATAATTGTCTTTGATAGGAAAGATTCCTGAATTCCATCTGTTTGTTGCTGATCTCTTTGCTTATGTTGTTGAAATCATCGACTTTAGAGATAGGTTTTCCTTTTCTACATTCAAACAGATAGTTTTTAAATTTGTTAGCCAAATTATCTGGTTTTTAAGCACTAGTAATTCTTGAATCGAAAATAATATGTTCTTGAGGAAATCTCACAAGCCTGATTTTGATCCTTGCCAATTTGAATGGATGAATATACAATTTGATACTTTGATTCCAGTCCGATACCAGTTTTAGTAATGGGAATAAAGTTTGTTTGCTATCATTTTGTTTATTGGTTTGTTTTGTAAAAGTTTGCCTTTGTTCTATGAATCCATCTCTATGCCCCCTAACTTGAAGCCCCCAATTGCTTGATTCTGCAGTCATATCGAGTCAATGGTGAAATAGCTGTTCATCTAAACTCCCGTGGTCAACCCGTCGACACCAAATCAACAAAGCCGAAGTTTGGTGATTTTTGTGAAGATTGTGGCAGAAGTGTAAATGATCCTCATCCCTTCTGTTCCATGGCTGCAAGGTTAGAAACATATGAACCTTATCCCACAAACCATTCGAGTGTAGAAACTTCTATGCGTTTTAAAAACCTTGAGACTAATGCCTGTACATAACGGGTCAAAGCTGACAATACTTGCTAGCGGTAGGCTTAGGCTGTTACAAATGATATCAGAGTCAGCCATCGAGGGGTATGCCAGCGAGGATGTTGGGTGTCACAACCATACTATGAAGAGAGTAGGTTGTGACCCTCACGTCATGACAAGCAAAGTGGCGTCCCTCAATAGACGCCCATCCAGCCACATGTGGGCCAATATAGAAGAGTGTCATGATGCGATCGAGGAGGACGATGCATCATCCAACACACCACCACGCAAAGTGGGTATTGAAGACAAGTTGAGACACAAGCAAGACAGAGACATCAGAATAGTCATGAAGTGCAAAGATAGACTTGTTGAAGGGCCGGGTAGGGCCTCGGGCCTTAACTTCAAAAGTCGGAGTTCTTGAAGGAATTTGGGCATGCGGTTCGAAAGTTAAGTCCGTCCATATGAAATATGAGTGCTTGCCAAATTTGGTGTCAATCGGACACCGGACGGACAATGCACGACACCGTATGACAATTCAACCAAAGCTTACAATATCTGCCCTGGGTGGTCCTTAGAGTGATTAACCATATTCTGAACAATTTTATTACTACATCACACACAGATTGTTAACAATTCAAATGCTGTAATAACATCAGGTTTCTGTGAACTCGAAGTTCAAGGAACAGAGCATTGGAACCATCATATATACGAGCCCGGAATCCATTAACTTATCATTCAAGGAAAAAAGCAGCCCAGAAACAGAAGCATGGGAATTGGAATCAACCATATCAGTTTTGCAGAGTCCACAGAAGAGACCCAAGCTACCTCTTCATCTTTAAGGCCAAGAAAACGCAGAAGGAAAGGCATCCCTCGCAGGTGTCCATTTTTTTGACAAGAAGATAAGATGCAACATTTTCATCTCCTTTTTAACTTCCTTGTGGCTCTCAAATGGTATGCTTCTTAATTTTTATTTACCTCGACTCGTATATTTCATAGAATGTCTAGTAGTGAAATGAAATCATCAATATAAAAGCCAGAATTGTAGATCTTTGCTGCTGCATGGTTTTAAAATTTCTTTGTCAAAGTTTTGACAAGATTAGTTGGTAGACAAAGCTGATATTAACATATATTCTTTTACACAAGTTGTTTGCCTCGTCCATGGGAGTCTTGGCCGCTACCGACGATGGCGACGTGGGAAGGATGGAGGTGTTCATGCACACAAGTGTGGGCAGCGATGATGAGAGGAGGTAACCTCTAAATTAAAATTAAATATTTTAATCAATTTAAAAATGTTCAAATTAATTGGTTGTGCTATGTTAATCCAATTTAAGTAAAAACAACAAAAATAGAGAAATATTTTTAATTTATATATTAAATAAATATCTCCTTTACTAAAGTTGAAATTTGGATAATTTTCTATTTTATCAATTACATATGAGAGGTTCGTTTAAGTCACTGCTCAGTGATTTGGTACAGTCAAATTTGGTCCCGCCTCCGCTAGAGCCCAAAAAAAAAAGGCTCTTCCCTACAAGAATTTCGTCTCTTCTCTTCTTCTCCTCCTCCCCGCCGCTTGATCTCATCAACCTATCATCTTCCGCTATCTCTAATTCCCTTCTCAACCATTCTTTTACCTTTCAGAAATGTCGGTGAGTTCTTCTTCATCATCATCTTGTTCTTCTGTTATCTGTGAATCTTTGATGCAGATCTGCCGCATTTATGTTTAGTAATTGCTTTTTTGTTTCTGATGGGTAATGGCGATTTGGGGAATTGTAGTTGTAATGTGGAACTGGGGTTTTGTTTTTCTTTCTAATTTTGATTTTGATTTTGATTTTGATTTTCAAGGTCTCTGGCTTTTACAATGAGCTCTGATTCTGATTGGATGCCGACAGAATTCCACTGATTTTTCTCCCCCAAATTTTGAATTTATCAACAAAACAGTCTCTTCGTCCCTTCCTCTCAAATCAGCTGCTTCAATCCCAACTTTTGTTTTCAGTTCCTTCTCATAAAGGTTGAGTGAAGTGAAAATTAGCATGGTGAAATCACTGCTAAATCCTTTTTGTTTTTGGTTCTTAATTTTCTATTTCTGAAACCAGCTACCTGAATCTCACCCTAGTTCTTTCTTTTCACTTTGATGATGAACTCAACGGAGTCAACACTAAGTACTGTTCTTCACTACTGAATCCAAAAACTTGATAACTATGATGAAGTTCAACAATTATTAGAATGTTAATTCTCTAACTAGTGCTGCCTTTTAAAAATATTTAAATTCAAGTTTTTCTTACAAAAATTGTAGGGGAGTGGAGGGTCGAAATATCAACTTTTGAGAAGATAAAAGATGTCTTATCTAATAAGCAAATATTGACCTTTTTGGGCTTTCCCTCTCGAGCTTTCCTTCAAGATTTTTAAAATACCTCTACTATGTGAGGTTTCCATGACCTTATAAAAAATATCTCGTTCCTCTCTCCAATCAATGTGAGATCTAATGTATATATTTTGTCATTCCTAACTTTAGGTATTAATTTGAAGAAGGAATGATATTGTAAATGTACATTCAAACACTTGCATTTCTTAATTATTTTTAATGGGTTTTTTTCTTTTTTCTTTAAAAAAAAAAAATCTTATGTAGATGAGAACTGTCAAGGTCAGCAATATCTCAAAAGCTACTTCTGAGAGAGATATCAAAGAATTCCTTTCATTCTCTGGTCAAATCCTTTATGTTGAAATGCAAAGGTTAGTGATTATATTCTATCTGTTTGTTTTGTTTGGAGAATTATTATTATTATTACTATTTATTATTATTGTTATTATTTTGTGTAGAGAAACTGAAAATACTCAGGTTGCTTATGTTACATACGAGGATTCTCAAGGAGCAGATACTGCAATACTTTTGACTGTAGGTTCCTTTTTAGGCACATTGGTCTCTTTATTTCTATAATTTATGTTAGTTTTTGTGAACCTTTCTCTCTTAATCTCTTCTCTTAGGGGGCAAAAATTGGTGATCTATTTGTATCAATTACTCTGGTTGAGAATTACCATCTTCCACCAGAAGCAATGTCATCAATCCTGGTAATAAACGTCTCGTGTATATGCATTTGTTGTCGACCCTTGAATTCCTGCACACAAACAAGTTACATTATTCAATTCGAAATCTTGATTATCAAGTAGCTGTCTTTGTCTTCAAGGAGGTATTACAAACTATTTACTTAAAAATCTTAATGACCTTTAAAAGGATAAAAGGAAAACTGCTACCGGGATTGCTCCGAATCAGGCTGAAGATGTTGTAAGTACAATGCTTGCGAAAGGCTTCATCTTGGGGAAGGATGCTCTCAACAAGGCAAAAGCGTTCGACGAACGACTCCAATTGACATCAAACGCTTCTGCAACTGTTGCTTCCATTGACCGGAAGATGGGCATAACTGAGAAAATAACTGCAGGCACAGCAGTGGTGAATGAAAAGGTCAGGGAGATGGATGAAATGTTCCAGGTTACGGAGAAGACAAAATCCGCTCTTGCAGTTGCCGAGCAGAAGGCAAGCAATGCTGGAACCGCGCTCATGAGCAACTATTATGTGTTAACTGGAGCAGCTTGGTTTTCAAATGCTGTAACTGCAGTTACAAAAGCTGCCGAGGAAGTGACCCAGATGACAAAGGCAAAAGTCGAGAAAGCCGAGGAGGAGAAAGAGGAAAGTATATACCACGAAAGAACCGGGATCATCAATAACTTCGCCGAGTTCCATCTCGACGAGCCTTTACCGGGGGAGCCTGCTATTGTTCCAGTTAATTCAGCTGATAGATAGACAGTAAGTTGTGAATCATACGTATGAAAACCTACACTTGTGAAATACATTGCTTTCCCCAATCAACTGTATGATATATACATTTTCATCTAGAGGTGCTCCAATTACAGGGTTTACTTCTTTATACACGCTCCTGTTGAAATGTCATGACGTTCTTTTGAGTGAAAAATTCACTTTTTGAATACTTGATTATACAATGTTGCATTTAACTTCTATAATTTATATACTCGAGTTTCTTACCATTTTAGGACGAATATGTATTTTTATCTCCTCTCTTGTTTAAAGAAAAACTTTACAAAAGCCGACTTAGGACGACCTGTTTGAAATGATTTTTCAATAAAACCACGAACAAAAATCTAATAAGATGGAAAAATGAACGCAGTCTAAGCCTTATCTCATTTGTCAATTGCAACTGCAATAAGAATGCTTGGGAGTGACATCCATGGTTTACAATTTTTCTCTGATTGCTCAAGTATTAAAAATCTCATCATAATTGTTGTTTCCGTAAGAATATTAGGGTCATAGCTCTGAGTATCAAACACATACAACCTGTACACAAATGACAGGGAAATTCGAGCACGTGGATGATCTGGTTTAGACTGGACTAGGCCTTGACTAGATACATGTATAAAAATTTGAAAGAAAAATAGAAGTTATTGGACGATTGACCAAAAAGATGATTTTTGGTATTCCATCATATTTTTCTTTCTATTGGTGATAGAAGACGAGAATTGAATGTCCTACCTGAGAGAGTGACCTTCACTAGCTGTTCAGGTTGGTCTAAAGTGGTCAGGAAGGAAGAATATGTCAAAGTCAATGGAACAGAAAGTGCTTATTTGCTGTTAGGAAATGATGCTTTCCATCATAAAAACTTTAATAGCCACTCCAAGCTCTGTTGAAATTAATACAGCATCAGTAACTTTTGCTCAAGTTGACTTAATAAAAGAGAATTCAAGGAATTAAGTTTTATGCAAGAATAAATCAGTTTTTATAGTTGATTAGTTATATACCTCGATACATTCGTGCAGATCATCGTTTTCTGTTCTGATATGAGTCTGCAAAACGATAATGCTCCAAATGTTATAAGATAGTTACACATAAAGTCAAATAAAATTCATTTAAATTATCATGGGTTATGAAAGAAATTGCAAAGTAACAGTGGTAGTTCTCAAAAGATCTCCAGAACTGTGGTAGTTTCGTTGATGTGATTTTAATGCATGCTTTAAAATATTCTAAACAAACGCTATAACTTAAAATTTTCTTATAGTATAAAAATGAACTTTATAATTGTACTTTACATTATAATTGAATCTAATTGGATTTATATTATGCTGTTTTCGTAAATCTTTAAATTTTCTTCTAGATTTTCAAATACATATTTATATTATTATTCAAGTACGTAAATATATCGATGAAGAATGAATTTTCTTTTGCAGGTCTGTATTTTTACCTCGATGACTCGTTGACTTGGTGCATCCTGTTTTTCTCCTAGGGACGCCAGGATGACAACCGCAGCTGCAATAGTTGAAGGGAAATAACAAAATTGGACTTTCTCTGACAGAACAAGCACAGCAAAGTTCTTAGCTCGATTCTCCAAACCTGTGTCAGCTCCAGCAGCTTTCAGGTAGAACCTAAGATTGTTTTCAAATACCCATTGTCAAAAGAAATAATAAAGCATGTTATGCGTACTAGATTCAAATTGTTAATGGGCGGAAGGAGTTTATTAACAGTGGATGGACGAGGGAGAAAAACTTTGTCCTACAAATGGTGAAGCTAGTCTGAGGAAGATGTACCACAAGAAGTTGTAGACAGTTGGCAGGAAACAATGGAACTTTAGAACTTCTTCAACAAGCCATTCCATACCAACAACTTCAGATCTTCTATACGTGTTGCTCCCTACACGTATATTCCTTTGCTGCAACCTGAAATACCGAAAATAAAACCAATCAGTACTATCATCGCTTTTTAAATAGATTCACCAAAGCTCGAGACCCACCAGATTGGATATCTTCTCAATTCTCAAGGCTTTATTCAGTGAAACAGACGATGAAATAACTTTTTGCATGTATAATACAAGTCAAAGCTAGATGAAGACTGTGGATAAAAGGAAGTTTAAAAAGAAAAGAGAGGAAAAGAATTGTTATAAAGCTGATTCACATATGACGACTTAGAGCTCTACATAGCAGCCTCAATGCATTGATGGTTAGATTAGCATTTTATTGGTGGGTCTTGGGTCTCTTCTGTGCACGAGTTGTTAACTTAAAAACTGTGTATCGACAATAAGTTTGACTATTATTTGTTACATCGGCTAAAATATGACCATGGTATAATCACAATGTGACAAACATTCTTTTGTCCATGTGAACGCAAAGCTTTCAGGCCCGGAAATTTGAACTTATGAACATTCAAGACTATTAGATAGATTCATTTACTTATATACATTTTTTTTTCTGATTATTATTTCTAGTACTATTTACCATTTTGATCCTAACTTGCTCAATTTTACACCCCTTGAACCAAAGCAAGAAGACCAACTAACTTACAATTTGTTTCCATGCAATCTTCATCATATATAGACTAACGAAGTTGAATAGAAGTTATAGTAGATGCACATTGATAGACGAGAGAAAAAAGAAGTCACCAGCTGTATGACTGATTTTCTTCGATTCTAGTAGCCAAAGTTAGACATGCAATGCCCAGAATTTGAAGGTGGCTTCCAGCTCTGAAGAATCCTTTGCTCAGAATCTGGTCCAGGAGGGTAACTCCTAAAAATGTCGTCTCCTGATGAAGTTTGGTATCTCTCGATCTCTACATAATTCGAAAAAAAAAAAAGCTAAATAATTATAAATATATAAAAAAAAAGTTTGACCCAACTGATTGATGACAAGTCTTACCGCATGAAAAGGAATTAACAGATTATAAAGAATGTATTTCGTGAACCATAACAGATGATGAAAATGAAACTGCATTGGTGAATTCCTAACAAAATCCCAACATTCTCCATAATGAGCGCAAATCTCGCTGTTATAAATATTTATACTATTATTAAGATAAAAATAAACAGCTAATGTATCCAAGCAGAAGTAACAAATGAAAAGAAAAGTCAGTTAAACTTGGCTGATTCAAGATGCCAGATGCAATGGGCGCGTGGCAGGCCTAATTCGTTAGAAAGAGCTTATAACAACTTGATGAAACAGGTGCAAAATCATGAACATATTAATGACTGTAATTTTCGTTAGGAAATTACAGTTACATTTAAACTAAGAGGGAGATAGTGCCTGATTACATACAATCACACGAGATGGTAAACAGAGAATATTGTAAATTTTGAAGAGTCGATAACGTGAAATTCATACACATAAGGATATCAGATTTGACGTATTTTTCTAAAGCCAGATGAGAAATTTCCAGAAAACACCGATGGAATAGTCGATACCAGAAAAGTACAATGTTGGATAAAGTTCAAATTGAAATATGACAGGGTGTCTCAAACGCTATGCAGTCCCAATGTCTCAGAATACAAAAGCTATTAACGATGAAAATGGAAGGCCGGTGAAATATCTCATGCTAATTCAGGAATAATTGAGAAAAACACAGTGGTTCAAATCAAGGACTTACTTCAACTATCCATTGGACCATATTTGACCGTTCCTGGAGAATGAGATCGCCATAATCCGTCGACGACCGGTACTCTTCTTCGTAGTCGCGAATAATCAATTGGCGTCTTTCTCTATTTCTGATCATTCGATAGGCTTCTTCATTGTCCAATTCTTCGAATCTCAAAATCTAAGTTATAATCAATTAAATAAAAACAATGTAAGTTGTTTGATTAGCTGCAGGTTTGTTGCTGATGAAACGCCAAGGAAGCATGAAAATAGAGAATTACCGTAGATTGATCTACTTTCTCTTCTTCAATAGATGTGCCAGTTCTAATGTCTTGAGAGGCACTTGATCTTAGAAAGTCGCGCCTGTACTGCACCAGCATGCTGAATGTTGATGAAGGAGTTGCGTCGTCGTTCGATTTTTCTGAAAATTCGCTTCCGGATTCCAAGAAAATTGAAGGAGTGTAATCTGAGCAGTCCGTATCAGACGTCTCCAATAGAATAGTTGACCGAAGCTCGGACAAGGCCTGGCTAGAGTATTCCGAAACATCCTCGTAAGAGAACTGCTCTGTGCAAGCAAGATCCGATTCAAACTTCAAGCTATTAGGCCACTGTTCTATCGTGGAATCCGACTTCGAAACAGTGATAGTTTCATTGATCTCATTTCTCGGTATCTCTTGTAACTGAAAGTCCCATAGTCCGTTTTCTTCAACCTCTAGTCCTTTCTCTTCGAAGGAACAGACGCTCTCGAGGATAGATTCAGCACAAGACTGTACACAAGGATTGGACGGCACAGCTCCCTTTCCACAAAGCTTCGACGAGACATCAGCCTCAGTCAATTGGAACTCCAGAACTCCATTGTCCGCTGGATCTTTGTTTTGGTCAATAGTTCTCCTAAACTCTCTCCTACTCTTCAACCTGGAGTTACTCGGACTAACAACACCAAAATCGACTCCAGAATTCGACTCCACGCAAGACGATTCAGACACTTCCACATTACTCTTCCTAACCTCGCACTCCTCCTGCAAGCAAGCTCTGGACACTCCATTCGAAGCTGCATCCAAATTCAAATTGACTTGAAGATCGCCACCAATGGAACCGAATCGTCTCTTCCTCGCACCCGCAGTACGACGCTGGAATCCAAAAACCGCGTCGAGTTTGGTAGAAACCTCAGGTCCTCCGCCGTGGAAGGAGCCAGAGCTGGAGTCCGGCGAGCAGAAAAAAGGAGAAATCGGATCTCGCCTGCGGCGTGGAAGCTGAGACCGAAGCTTCTTCTTGGGCGGAGACGGAGATTGGAGGTTGGACCTTCGCTTTTTGGACTTCATGGTGCGGTGATGAGTTTGGTGATAGAAGCAGAGCAGTTATGGAAGTTAGGAAGCGAAAGAGAAATGTAAAATTGGAAGTGAGTCTATACTTCCTCCCGCCTCCTGTTTATCTAATAATTATATATCACTATCACTGAATCACCATCCCACACGCGTCTGCCTCCTCCCACCCCTTTCCGTACGGACCTATTACGACAGGGCTATGGCTTAGACGGACATTGCTTATTATTTAAACACGATTAATTAATTCTCGATAT